TCCTCTATAAATAAAACAAGTGATTGATTCGATTCATTTGCCAATAAATGTTTAATCTTCACTAGAGCAATACCCGTGCACAACGTGGAGAGTATCCTTAATATTGAGAATGCATATGACTCCAATATTTATCACAAAGCAATATTTTACTGGGCCATTTCGCATACCTATGTATCCCAGTATATTGGAATGTCTCAGCAGTACAGTATTGTATATCTCTGTTTCTCTCTGCCACGAGACCTCATCTCTAGATGAAAATATCTTCACTGCAACGGGCTCTCCTTGATAGAGACCCTTCCAGACTTCTCCATATCGTCCTTTTCCTGTTAAAACAATCAGAATAACATGACAAATATCCAAGTATACCACTTAAATCTGTGTTAAATTAAATGATGCCAAATCTGATAAACTAGGATTTGACAAATTTTTTATCTGTAGCGCACACATTCATATTTCTACGTGATTTTTCAGAAAAATGTGTGAATAAAGCAATAGGGGGAAATACAATGACAGAAAACCTTGAAGAGAACAAAACCATGGGCCATATACGTTGGTGAAATAGGTTAGAAGCAAGCACACGCTGGCCACCTCAACCCATATATTTCAGGTCAACTGTGTATTGACTGTAGACCACCTACCGATACACTCCACTAGGGAGATGCTCCTACTGACTGTTCTCTGTACAAGCAAAGGCAGCCCTGCTCCACTGCCTGATGTCACAGAGTGTTCAAAAACCTCCTAAAACACAGAAACCATTATATTATATAGCACCCTCACTGTAGCGCATCTTACACACATCCACTGTACTACAGTTACTCCACCGGTGGGCATCGAATGCATGTAATTTGGAATGTGTCAGGTCATCTTTATTATTTGAGAATAGCTTCAGTGAGACATCTCGCTGTTTACAACTCACAGTGCAGCAGTTTCAGTTTCTTTGTTAGATTTACAACTTGTACTTGCTACATAATATTTCAGTAGATTGATATAAATACCACTAGCATGGCTACAAGCTTTGGCACACTACCGTACGTCCCCCTTGCTTCCAAAACAGAAAAATATCGACAATTTGCATTGCGTAGACCCGTGCCACACGAAGAGGGTTACCCCGAGGGTGCTGTCTCCCGCCGGCGTGGAGATGAGATGTCCGAACGAGCGTGGGTCGCGCTCAGAGAGCATCGCCATCTGCTTGCGATGCATGCGTCTCATCACCAGCAAGATGACGCAGCCGACGAGCATGAGACCGATGATCGGAAGGAATATCGAGATCATGAGACCCGTGAGGTACTCGTCCTCCGCGATGTCTGAAATTGTGCGCCGTAAAACACACACTGACGCAATGCACGTGCTGTGGCACCGCGCGAATCGGGTTGCAGCATCAAAGTAAAGTATTTTGCAAGACAACAAATGATACTAATTACACGATGACTCAAAACCAACCAACGCATCTTCCCGTACCTTTAGTAACTGGAGAAAAAGTTGGAAAGAGATCGCGATTGCAGTAGTCTCCATCGTTGCAGCACTTCACAACTGCCTTATGATCAAATTCTGAGGAGGAACAGCAGAGAAATTCTTTAGCAATATATTAACTAATTAGTTTATGATTTCAATAAAATTACACTCTACTTTCAATGCCAATAACATCTTAATTAACAATTTCATTACAATGACAACTAATACAGCTATAAACAAGAAAGTTTTAGAAATACCTTCCGACTAGTCAATTTAGTGGTTCAAAACAACAAAGAAATAGTTCTAGAAGTTTAGCACTTACAGCTTGTTATTAATTCACATCTTCGCACTAACACAACTATATATATTAGGCCTATAGATACCTGTATTGCAGGTCAGTTCTTCCTGCATTAGGTCATCGACACAACCATATCGTTGAGATGTCTGCTGGGTCCCTTGCACGACATCGGTCACGAGCGCAGTGTAGCACTGCAATAGAGTAAACGCCACCTATAGTATTATCCTGAATGACAATCAGGTGAAAATAATACATTAATTATTTAATCACTACATGGACCTTGGCGACATGCAGTAATAGATAATCAATGTAATACTAAGCGGGAATTGCAGCAAGTGAAGTTACATATGTTTTCTGTTGTCACATTTTAAAATAAAATACCTTAACAGTGTTTCACAAATAATGCATGATTAATTTTATTCACAAGGCCAGGAATCGAGGTGACTAAGGTACTTATGACTTAAATAGAAATACACTTATACCTCTTTAGCATAAATATGCCAGCATCTACTTAAATGTGATTGCATAAATTTGTAGCTTTACCATACAGCCATATGTACATATATTATCAACCCGTCATTGTGGATAAAAATTAAATACCATATGTTAGAGATGCAACGTTTGCTATCCTTTTGTACATTCTTTCGTACAGGGCACATAGCTGTGCAACATGGCTATGCTACATAATCGTAAATTTGTTATACATCTACATAAACAAGCATATAAGATACTTTCTACATGCTGGATTTGATGCACTAGCTCTCAGTCTCAGTCTCTTGGGGTACTATGCAGCTCCAACTATTTCATCCCCGAGCCGCAGCAGCATTTAACTGAATTTTAACTGTATTATATACACACTAAGAATGTGGCAGCAGTGCAGCACACATGTATTGATTTCCCAATTGACTGAGAAGCAGCCGACTAGTCCGAGGTTCACATTTTTATTCTCCACATATCAAATAGTTACTATAAATTATTGTCTATAATACGGGTCTAATCTACTCGGTAATTTATTATCCAAGTGGCCACGTAACCATCTTGACAGGTTGAAAGCTAGTCATTTACCTTGGCTGTTGTCATACACTTTTCCAATCCACTGCATGAAACAACGTCACATTCACACCAAATTGATATCGAGTCAGACATGGTGTAGCCTGCTGAAAACAATAAAATTTGTATTAACTACGTACCAACAAACTATAGGATTAATACCTTTGGCAAACCTTATTGGTATGTGCTTTGTGATTAGAAAAGCTCTATAAAAATGCCACCATTGCAAAATGCATTGCAATCTAGTTCCAACAATTCTGCTATAATAGATTCTGTACAGACTGACCAAAGGCTGCAAATGTCATCAATGTGCAAACAGGGCAGTTTAAACTTTGAGCAAAGACTTGAGCCCCCAAAGTTGTTTTTGAGACACCAATGAAAACCTATAGCTACTGTTCACGTTATCATATATATGCTAAGCAAGTCATAAAGGGGGAGGGGGCATCGGAAAAGTAATGTATGTAATAATATATAATTGTGCGAAAACATTTTACGACACAACACTGCAATTTGGCAATTTCATTATTCAATCGTAATTTTGTGAGCAGTTAAATCGCTCGCCAATTACATTCACCACTGTTATATATTTATTGCATTTTGCGAAGGTGGCGAATGTCAGAGGTAGCCCTGGGCAAATACATTTAAGCCACAAAGACTCATATAATATTTATAATGATCAAATTATTCAGTTTCTATGTAACATAGAATATGGCATATTTAGTAATAGGAAAAGCAACGTACATACGGTATAGCAATCTTGTGTGATGAATAAACATTTGTGAATTAACTCATACCAGCAACAGCATACCGAGTAATGTGGAATTGAAAAGCATCTCACCAGAGTAAAATAACATCTTATTATTAGGGGAAACAATAGGCTTACCATGCACTTGGCTACATAGAGTTCATTCGGTTATGACATCCCGACTTCAGAGTATAATAGATTTCATTGATTTGTGTTAAACAAGTCTTTTGCATCTTTATATATATATATATATAAAGTTGTTCAGCCGAATTAGTCCATACTCGCATAACTAGAGAACTCCGCAGCATAAAGGAAAATTAAAAATATTTTCAGAATCAGCATGTCTGGGAGGTGGTTCTGGCTGTAACAAAATTTTAAAAAGTTAAAAAGTTAAAAATTGATAAAAATTATATTCATCAATAGATGGCGGTGCGTACAGATTAAAATCACGTACGTGTGAATCCATGGTGTATACCCTTAATAGCGCAGTGGCCTAATCGCTAGAACATCCGTCTCCTACACCAGGATCCCGGGTTCGAGTCCCAGCTGGGGAACTTATTTTCCCCTTTTTTCCTTTTTTTCCCTTTACCTACCTCTTTAGTATGTATTATTTTTAATTTTTTACTTTGGGATGGGATGGGATATGGGATGGGATGGCATGGAATGGGATGGATGCATGGATAGATGCATGGATAGATAGATAGTTAGATTTGTTTGGGTATTTTCCTTTCAACAAAGAGGTTACCAACTGAGTAACGCCACTGTCTTCCCCGGGCAACGCCGGGTATCCGCTAGTCCAGCTATAAAATGTTTGAAAAAATCAAAGCATTGTTACAGGG